CTCATCTCCGTTTCAAAGCCGAAGAGCCAGCGCTGTCTGAAGACGTTTCCATGGTCATGTGGCCGGCATGACTAAACACCAAGGCGCACGGAATGCTGTTACCTTCCCACTGAAGTGGTACCTATTTATCTACTTGCAATTTCTTGCTTTCGAACTGCTAGGTTGGCAGGAGCTGGAACTAGAGACGGGAGGGAGCTCACTCCGTCATGTGGCACACTCGGGTCTCGAACTGCTGAACTACCGACCTTCCACAGCCTGCAGTTCAGCGTCTTAACCACTTGAGCCACCACAGCTCCACAATCTTAGCTAGTGAATGATTAACAACATTTCTTTACACAAGTCCAATCAGTTTTACTTTAAAAAGTCCAGAAAATTAATGAACAAACACCCCAAATCTCCTGCATCAACGTAAATGCTCCTTTGTGCCTGTTGTATAAAATGAGCTCCAATGGAGGGCAGTCCAACACAGCCAGGGGGAAGTGACTGTTAAAAATCCATCTGAGATTTACAAACTGTCCCTCTGGTGATGTTGCTTGTACTTTGAAAAGGAAGTAAGAATGTTTCAGAATCCTTTCGATGGAGCACCAGAAGGTGCAAGTAACTTGTTTTTCAGATGGAATTGATTGATTTGCAAGCCAGTGATCATCTCAGATCATCTATTTTGGTCTACCTAATATAATTATTATCCTAAAGAAATTTGATGCAGGCATGTTCACAGCCTTTGGCACCACATACACCTGTGAACAAACTTTTCCCAAGATGTAAACTGTGAAATCAAAGTGTAGGTCAAGACTTGCAGATGAATAGTTACATGACATTTTAAGGGTGTCTGTCACAAGCCTCAACTTGGACATTAATGCCCTGGCTAACAGAAAGCAGCCACAAAAATCACACTTACTAGGTAGGCATGTGTAGCTTTTCCTGCCTAAGTGCCAGGGGTCATTTTCTGCAGGAGCGCACAGGAGTGGAGCTCCGGCAGTAAAGAGCCTAGGGGGCGGGCACATGCAACAAGCCCCACCCCCTGCTCCCAGCAGCCCTCCGTTAGAGCAAGAAGCAGCCAGGTAAGTTGCAGAGCCAACAGGTCCAAATCAGCCCAGTGGCACCTTTAAGACCAAGTTTTATTCAGGTACAAGCTCTCCCTCCTCTGTGAGGGCAGATCTGCACGCCCCCCCCCCATAGCTAGCAATCCAAAACATTCCAGTGGAGCCTGAGCGGTGGGTGTTGCCTTCTGACACACGTCCGGTGATGTCAGGGGGTGTGGCATATGCAAATAAGTTATGCTAATGAGCTCCTGCACCTCTTTTTCTACGAAACGACCCCTGCGAAGGACTATCAATTAGGTCAAATCCTCTGGCCAGAGCAGGTGAGGTATAGACAAAAGTCTCTAGATATTCAGCCTTGGGACTTAGTACATTTTGGTTAAAGGAATGTGAGCTATGTGTGGGAAAGCATTCACAGACAGGCACTGTTTTGCTACTAGGAAGTAGGCATTGGACATACTGCAGTGTTTCATGGGAAGAGACCAAAGTCTGCTTTTGCTACATAAATTCAATATGCCTTATACATAAACGGCCAAGTCTCCCTGAACCCAAAATTCTGCCACAGTTTATTATTAGCACTGTTTGCAGAGTAAGGTTGCCAAACACCCCCAGTGGAAGCAGGGGTCCCCTGCCACCAGGCCCTGTCCCCCAGCTGCCAATCAGCTGGCCGGGGTGTGTGTACCAGCAGAAAGAGGAAGGCCCAGCCAAGTCACTGGCATCGCCTAGAAAGTGACGCCATCATGCCACCCACGCCTGGGGTGACGGTCTGATATTGGACAAAAGCTCTACAGTTGAAGCCATTTTCTACCACAGAGTTTGTGCCCAAATACCAGA